AGATATGCTTTTAGTTTTGATTTTGCATTTTGTTGAGTTGCACACAAGACCATTATCTTTTTCTGTTTGCATGAGCTTGTGCAAGATTTTGTCATGCTCTTTGGATTTGGCATCGATAGTGACATCATCATGGATTCCTACTGCACTGTCAACTTGCTCAAGAATTTGGTCCATCTTCATTTTGAAACTATCCTGAGATAAGCTCAATCCGAATGGTAATCTCTAGAATCAGTATCTTCCATAGGGTGATTGGAATGTTGTTAGCATCTGAGACTTGTTATCCAAGTGTATAGACCAGTAACTGGCTTTGGCATTGATCTTGGAAAATACCTTGGCACCTGCAAAGTGATGCAACAACACTTCTATTTTAGGAATTTTTTGATGTGATCTTTTGAGTGCCATGTTTAAGTCTCTTGGATCTAGGCAGATTCTTAGACTTCCATCCTTTTTATGTGAGTATGCGAGGTTTGAATCCCAGTCTGTTGGTTCTATCATTTTTCTGATAATAGTTTTTTAACATTTTGTCAAGCTCTTGTTTTATGATGTCCATTAATGCAATTGAAGTTTTCTTAGGTGCATCAATATGTGGTTGCATGTTCTCATTGACAGTTTTACAGATCCTGGCATAGAGCCAATTTTGTTGAAGTGATCTGGGTACATGTGTATCAGCTTTTCAATTGTATTTATCTATGTTTGTGGTGTGTTTCCTTTTTTTACTGTGCCATGTAAGGTAATTAATTTAAGCTGTTCTAGTGATGGTAGTCCCCTTTGTAGAAGTTACTGTTAAGCCAGTTTGAATTATATTTGCATCGTATTCTGATGCTACCATATCATTCTAATGGTGTTCTGTTGTATGCTACCAGTTTTGTTTTTTTTCCATTTTGGAAAACTGTCAAAGTTTAGTTTTTATGGAAACATTCTGTGGAATGTATTGACTGGTAGTGTATTTTTTTGGGTGCCTGTATCTATTTTTAGACACAACTTGTGGATTCCACTTCTCTTTTGCAGTCTTATTTTAATATAAACAAAAGCCTTCATCTCTCTTTTGGGAGATGGAGGACATTTTTAAGTTACTAAATGTTAGGTCTTCAAGCTCTTCTTTTAGTCTCTGGGTTGTATAATGCATCAGTTCAGATTGTGTCGAGGTAGATACTGTGACCTTGGGTTGGTATGACCCTGACTTAATGACCTTTATTTCTGTCATTTTTTATTTTGTTTGACAGGCAAACCATTGCCCAGTGGTTGACTTTACCACATTTGTTGCATGTTGATCAAAATGCTGGACAGGATTCATGGCAAAGTGCATCACTTCTCCCACAATTGAGGCAGTGTTTTAAACATGTTTAGTGGGCCTATGGCATCATCAGTATTGTTTCACATGACCCTAATTTGCATTGTATGGACGATTGGTGCTTCATATGCTTTGCCTAAATTAAGTGTTTTGTCAAGTGTTTCGTCAAGTATCAGTTGTCTTTTTTTTTTTTTTTTTTTAACAATTCCTTCTGGAAGTCTGTGATTGGGGTGCTGGTGATAAGTTCTATTATCTGCTGCTGTTGTTCAGTCTCTGATAGTGAACGTCTTTGTATTAGTTGCCTGCATCTATTAACAAAAGTGACTCCTCTGATTTCTGTCTAAATGCCATTAATCCGAAGCAATTCACCCTGTAGTTTTCTTTTGGTTCTAGTTGCTTGAGAAATTTATTGAAAATAATGTCTGAGGAGCATTTTTCTGTGATTTACTTGTTGGTCTGTCTTTATCCTGTTTACAGTGAAGTACAGTTTCATTCACTGTTTAAAAAGTTTGAATGTTTCTGCCATGTTGGGCATCGTCCAGTCTGTCGTAGGGATATCGCTGTCAGCTATGGTTAATAAATAAATATGTCTACACGTACACAGTAAGCGAATAGGGATATAGCCTTTGTCTGCTATGCATATGTATGTGTGGGTAAGGATAACAGTAGGGAAGGTATATTGTGTGAGTGTTTGTGACTGTTTCCTATGTATGTGTATGATGGAGTGGAGGGAAGCAGTATGTTAACAAAACAGAAGACAAAGGTCCTGTGACTTAGGAGAAGGGATATAATAAATAATTGCTAAGATGTACAATACAAGTAAAATTTTTAAGAATATTTTTTTTCTTAAAAGTGTGAATGGGTTACCTTGATAGGAGTTTCTACATGTTCTTGGGTATCAAGTGTTGTTCAAGTTGTCACTTTGTGTGTGATATTTTTGTGTATCATTTTATTTTTTGTTTTTCCAACAATATGGATTGTACCTGTTGATGGTCACTTATACACCAACTGTGTACAAATGTTTGTTTTGTTGATATCAACTTGATACTGTTGTTTTTCTTTCAATATTTTATGTTTTCCCACTGCCACCATATAAGGTTTGGTGGTTGTTAATTATTTAGTGAAAGGCAAAGTTATATTAATATATTTCATTAATATTTTTTACAGTCAATAAGTTAGAATCCCAAGTGAAGTGTTCTTCTCATTGTATTCCTACACTAAGGAGTTTACGTCAAGTGTGCATAGAGAAGTAGTTCCTATGCTACTGTTACAAACCCTTTATTTAATCTATGGGGGTAGATTTTTCTTGGTCCACTGCCCATGTCTAGGGATATCTCATCTAGTTCTTAATTTTTAGTTATTGCTTGACTGTTTCAGTAAACACCACTTGGCCCACAATTACTATGTCAACAAATTCACAAACCATTGCTTTAATCCACTAAGCTATTGTTTTGTAAGACAATTCTCTGTGGTGAACTAGATGAGATATCCCTGGACATGGGCAGTGGACTGAGAACAGTCTGCTCCCATAGATTAAATAAAGGATTCAGTTCAGAATTCCTTGTAGGGTACCCAGATCTATATATACGTGATAAAGGCCAGATAGCACAAAGATGAGGACAATAGTCTGAATGTAAATAGTGTAAATAATGATAACTCTTCATCCCAGACAGGAAATACTTAGATTTGTTCTGGTGGTTGTTCTAGAAAAGTCAGTTTCAACAAAATTCTGTAATTTTTTTTCCCTCTCCTCAATTTGAAAAACATATACTATTAATTATCTGATTAAAGTAATTTGTTTGTGGTAAAAGTATGATGTCCACCTTGTCGGTCTGTTCAATGTCCGATCCCCGCAGCTGACCGTTGAATGTATCACTTTGATCCAAGCTTTGCCTTGTCCCTTGGTATGTTTATCGGGCTATCTCTTAACTCTTGCAGCATCTCAGTGTCACATCTCTCTTAGTATACCTATCAAGCTATTCTTTAACCCTTCCAGGACCTGTCACATCTCTCCCTTACCCTTCCTGTCATTTACACAATTCTTCTGTCTTCAGGAGATTTTGAACCAGAACCCAAAACTTCATCACTTAGGTTCTCTGCTTTAGACTCATCAAGTGGCAGTTTCTCTATTTTTCTTATTACATGGGACACCCTACCTCTTGCTTTTTGTGCTGAGCATTTCCCTGGCCTTGTCTGTTATGGGTGTAGTTGTTGATAGGAGTTGGGGAGGCTCCAGGGGTTCTTTCTTCTTGACCCCACACCACTTTTTCTCATGACCATGATGACCGCGCATTGTTCACCTTTCTACCCCACATGGGGGTTTCTTTCGCCCGCCTTGCCTGCCTACCTCCCAACATTGCACCTGTGTTCTCTTGCTTCTCCGCTTCTCCCAAATTCTCTCGCTATCCTTAGCCAACATGATAGCAAAAGCTTGACTGGGACTTACTTCATTGCATCATGCCATAAGTGCTCATTTTGGAGTGCTTCCACATACAGGTCAGCCAACTTGGCTTGTATAGCAATATTTTCCCTAATTTCTTCAGGGAAAGCCAGGGCAGCTAATTTCTAGGCCTTCACTTCCAAATCACCAGGAGACTTGCCTTTCATTTGGGCTAGCTTCATGAGGCTTTTCATTGCTTCTACTGCAGTTTCTTTGTTCACATATCCACCCACCAATAGCACCTCTAATTCTGTCCAGGTCAATTGAGGATCCCTTGCTAGGTGGTCCTATAAATTTTGAGACTGGTCCCTCCACTGCACTAAATGCCAAATAAACAGTTTCCTTCTCAGACAACTCATATAAGCTACCCCCTCCCGATTAATGCCAACCAATCTTTCAATTCCCCTGGGCTCCCCTAAAGGCTGAAACTCTGTGTCTCCCCAGTAGCTCTCACAGACTGGTTGTTACTTGAGGCCTAACTACCTCATCTTCAATCTCTACCATCTTGGATTCTTATTTTACCTAACTAGAATATCCCTAATTGAATACTAGCAAAATCACTAAAATTGAAAATCAAATAAAATTGGGATAATATAAACAAAAAAAATCTGGTGAGACGCAACAACAAAATGAAAAATTTTAGGGAAAACTAAAAAGTGTCCTACCTTTCACTTGCTCTGCGGTCAATTTGCAGTTAGAAAGCATGGAGCAATTAATAGAACTGTACGGTAAAAAATTGACCAAAAGTCTCTTGGTTCTTTTCGCTCCTTTTTTTTTTTTTTTGTTTTCTTTCCTTCTTTGCCTGGTATGATGCCCTTCAGGGTCAATCTTGGTCTACAGCAGCCAATTATGACATCCACCCTGTCAGTCCATTCAATGTTCAATCCCTGCAGTTAACCATTGAATGGATCACTTCAATCCAAGCCTTGTTTTGTCTCTTGGCATGTTTATTGGGCTATGTCTTAACTCTTCCAGCATCTTATAGTGTTACCTTTCTCTCTGTATAGCTATCGAGCTATCCTTTAACCCTCCCAGCATCTAATAGTGTCACAAAAGGTTCGGGTCTTAAACAAATGCTGTTTTGTATCTATGATTTGTTTATTTACTGTGAATTAAAAAAGAAAAAAAAAAAGAAGCTGGATGATCATCTGCTAACGTTGGTGATTCCATGTTTTTACCAAGAATTCTACTTATGGATTCATCACTGATAAAAAATTTTGAAAAATCTGAAAAATGTTGTATTTTTCATGAGATCTTTTATTTTGTCAGGTTCAAGTGATACTAAGTGCAACATTTTGCATTCTCTTCTCTACACCTACTTACTGAGAGGTCAACTGACCAAAGCCATGGAGATGGTTGAAACATTGATAGTCAAAGGAGATGTGTCTGCACTGACAACTGAAGATGTCAATTCATCTGTTGATTCTATCACTCCCCTGTTCTTCACTGTCATCAATTCTTCGCAGTCAGCTCAGGTAAAACAAAATGAATAAACTGCCTTTATTGTGTATTCTACTTCATTTAATACCAATCTAAAATATTTTTTATAAGATAATGTTTATGACCAGGAAACATTAATTTCATCTTGATATTTAGAGTTCATGCCTCTTGACAGCACCTTTCCACTGCACTTAAACAAAACGCTGCAAAACAAAGAAAGGTCATGACATTTCTTAATGCATGTGGTTTAACTGATGTATATCCTATTATTTAAAAGACTACAGTAAATAATTTTCTTTGAGGTTTTTTTTTTTTTAATTTCACCTCCAAACAGGGCAATAAAGCCACTAAGATGCAAGTGCTTACTGAGTGTGGGAGAATATAAGAAAAAGAAAACATTATTAAGGAGAAAGAACAATAAAAGGACAAGAATTAAGAACACAGAACATAACGATTGATATTGCATTTAAATTTTTAAAGATCAAAGTTGACTGGGAAGCAAGAAGCTGGAAGAGAGTTCCACAAGTGAGAAATGTAATAGAATAAGATTGTTTGCATAGAACTTATGGTAGCGTCTTGCAGCCATTTCAACTGTAAAATGAGAGCTTGTCACCAATTTAATACTCCACTTAAATTCATAAAGTATAGGTACCAAAGTGGAAAGCTCATCAGAACAATTACCAAGAAAATATTCATGGAAAAGGCACAGGGAATCTATGTTACAATGGTGGGAACGTGACTGAAGCTGAGGTGCCAGGTAGGACCAATAACATTGCAGATTCTTTGGATTTTATCAAAAATCTCTAAATATATAGGAGGAACACCAGACCAGATGTGGCAACAATATTCAAAGCAAGGGTGAATGGTAGATTCATAAATATGTAAGATAGAATCTGTCAAGAAAAACTGTCAAACACAAAACAGTGAACCAACTTTTTTTGTTCCTGACTTAGCAGTTAATTCAATATAATCTTTTCACTTCATGTCAACGGAAAACGTTAATCCCTAAAAGTGCAATGAGTCACTCTCCTGGAAGTTAGCATTAGCCATGCTGATGGAAAGTAAAGAAAGCTCTTTCAGATGATTAAAAAACAGCAATTTCATTTTGGAGGTGGTAAAATTAAGAAGCCATTCCTTTCCCCAGTTAGCAAAAGCTATTTTTGAGATCAACTGTCAATTTAAACTCATTGAATTAGACTTACTATTCAGACAGGAGTATATAGTTGATTTTTGTATCCTGTAAAGCTGCAGAATAAATACTTGTTTCTTGATTACAACCTATCCTTGTTAACAAGTATAATAGATTTTTTATTACTGTTACTCTATGAAAGTGATAAGATAATCATAGGAAAGTGATTACTCATCTACTGTTTTTTCCATCAATCATTGTGTCATATTATTAATGAGCTTTTTTTTGTCAAGATGTTGGATATGTGATGGAGTGAAGGGATGTGGATTCATGCCTTTTCTAAGTGAATTAGTTCTAAGTTAAGTCAAACAGACTCATTAAAAGTTAAAACATTATTCGTTGATTTTGTTTCCATAATGATAAACTAGCTCACAGCTCCAAATTTATTTTCAACTTATAAAAATTGCTATCGTACAAAAAAATTTGTCACAAAAAAATTCGCTGAAAACAATCACAGTAGAGAAAACGTGGGGATCCAAAATTTCAGGATTGGGGTTCCAGATCTGACCCGGAATGTTTTTAATTTGCTCATGGAGTCGCCCGATTCCAAAATGGTATGATATGTTGGGTTACAACCTCTAGGAGTAAAGTTGAAAAAGTGTGACACACTGACATTCGCATTTATTTATGTAGATTATTTTTTTTGCAATTAAAAATTTTTAAATATTTAATTCTAAATCATTTTTTCTTTGCTATGTCCAGGGAGAAAAGGTCCCTTGTATCAAGGATCCAGCAATTCGTCAGGTTGTCCAGTCCCTTGCTCGATTTATGACATTGTACTTTTGCAACAAACAACTCTTCATATTTCCTCCAAATTCACCATCTCCAATTCCAGTAGTGTATAAAGCAGAACAGCCAGACTTGAGTAAGTAAACAAAATTGTTACAGTCGATATTACTTATTGACTTTGGATAGATTTTAACAGTACAAGTAGAAGTTACCTGTTTTTAACAGAGGTACTCAAATTTTCTTATATCATAAACCACCTTGATTTTTTTCATGTGTCAGGTACCCATAACATATCTACACCAAATTATTGTTCTTACATAATCAATAAAACTGAACGTTCAAAGTAATGTTAATAATTGTCATAAAAATAAAATAAATATATTAACAATTTGTTAAAATTACATTTATTTTGTGAACAAGCAACACAACTGTTGTAAAGTAAATAGCACACTCCTGGTGACTATATGATTAATACATAAAGAGGTCCAGGTCAGAGTTAAGAAAAAAGAAGCTGTTTGGAGTCAGTATTTAGACTAAGTAAGACAGCTGTCATGGCAAGTTACTGAAGATTTACTTATAAGTGCTATGAAGCACGTTATAACAGTGGCGACAAGGGATTTGAAATCCAGGCAATTTATAACTATTGTGATGAGGATTTGGAACTTTTATGACTTCTAACAGTAACGAGGCTTCAAAAACTCCTACAATTTGTAACTGGAGTGACAAGGATTTTGGAAATTCATACTGAGTGAACAAATATAGAAAAAAATTTATACTTGTTGCTTTGGGAACAACAATATGAGTGACAACAAGAATTTTAACCACAGTGGTTTAGACAGAGATTTTTTTTCTTGTGTAGAAGAAAAAAAAATTTTCTCTTGTGTGTAGGAAAAAGAAACATTCTTGCAAATATGGAGAAAATTTTGGCTTCAATAGTTGAAATTCAACAAAAACAAAATCTAAAGTTACTTGTACTACAAAAACAGCAACAGGAATTGTTGGATATAATTCTGAAGAAAACAAAAAATTCTTCAATGTCTCTTATGACAGATGCTGTCCACAACACTATCAGAATTTGTATACAATCCTGATGAGAAACTGACTTTTTCTGTGTATTTTCATAGATATGAACAGGTATTCAGTCAGGAATGCAGCAGCCAGGAAGATGAGAGAAAAACATTGTTGTTGAGGAAAATATAATGTACCCACCTCTATTCCCCAAGGATGTGCAGCCATACAATTTGGATCCTATCTCTTGTAGATATCTTCAGCTGGGGATGGCTGTGAGGTCATGTTGGTTACATACAGTTTTCAACTGGCCAAGGAGTTGGTGCCAGTTAGGTTGTTGATCGTCTAGAGTTGCTGGTAAGTGTTGTGACAAGAAAAGTGTGGAGTGCGCTTCCTCTTGATTTAAAAAAGCTGTGGTATTTTTTTTGATGACTGGGCTAAAGAAAAGAAAGCTGTGCTCTTGTCAGAAGGAGAAGGCCTGATCTTGGTTGAAAATGATATTTTTAATAATAGTAAATAAAGATAGAATATTTACAAAATTTTGATATAGCAAACAGGTGAAATCAGGTTTGAAGACACAGTACACATTCTGATGAAAATCTTTAGTGACAGGAGATCTCTGTTTAATGCTTGTTGGTGGTTCATGAATCTAACCAAAAAATAGGATGAAGATTTTGTCACATATGCTGGTATTGTCAACAAAATTTAGAATAAAAGGAATGACTCCATGTTCAAAGGGTTAATTTTTGTTCAAGGTTTAACAGCTAAAAAAGATGCTGAAATACAAGCAAAAATTTTAACAAAAATTGAAGAAAATAGTAATATTACACTGCAAGAAATAGTGGATGATTTTCAGACAATTCTAAGTCTGAAACATGATGATGAAGAATATGCATTGGTACAAGCTAAGGACAAATGTACAGAAAGGAAAATAAATCCTTGTTTCAGATGTGATAAATTACATCTTGGAAAAGACAGTCCATTTAAAAATGCAGAATGTTACAAGTGTGGACATATAAAGGACATATAAAGTCACACTGCAAATCCAAACCAAGAAGAAATTCGTACACAGCATCTCAATGAGAAAAATGGTTACAGAAAACAAAAGGAAATTTATGAAAATAAATAATGTGGATGTGAAAATGCTATTGGACAGTGGTAGTGATATTTCAATAATCAGTGAAACTACATGGAAGGAAATAGAAAGCTTTTATTAAAAAGCACTTCCAAAGTCTCAATTTCAATTTCTGGTGCAAAATTATTATTTTTTTCTTTTTGAAAAATGACTTGTAATGTCTTATTCCATAATAAGCATGTAAAAACTAAAGCTTATGTATTAAAAATGCTGTGAATTTATTCAGTACAGACTGGATGGAACTATTTTGAACTTTGGGATTTGCTGATAAATATTTATTGTAAAAACGTAAGTGGACAAGTAACCAATTTAAAAAGTCAGAACAAAAGTCTTAAGGAAGAGTTAAAAAATGTTTTCCTGATGTTCTGTCAAAATTTAAGGTGGATTTTCAAGTAAAAACAGGTTTGACACCAGTATTTAAACTGAAACAGAGCATACCATTCACAGCATTGGAACAAGTCAACGGACAGATTTGAAAGAATTGGTGTAATAGAAATAATTAACCATTCAAAGTGGACTGCACCAGCAATGTATGTAAAGAAAAAAAAATAATAAAATTTGTGTTTGTGTGGATTTGTTGACATGATTAAACAGTTGTTTAGAAACACACAACTATCCACACAAATGTCGCCTTTGAGCCTCTCCCTGGTCATCTGAATATCTAATACCCACGGCTGATCGAATAGGTGATTGCTTCGATTCAGGCCTTGCCTTATCTCACGTTGTGATTGGTTTTGATCCTAAGGTTGGCTTAGATCAAATCATTGTCAGGTATCTTTGTATTGGGCTCGTCCAAGCAGGATGAAGATGCAAACAAAGAAAATAACACTTGAATAAAACAAATGAATACTATTTTTATATAATGTTATTCATACAACAGTTGGTTAGTTTGTTGTCAAAGTCTAGTGGTTCGCATGCAGACAATTATTGACCAAACTTACTTCTTAAGTGAGACGTGACACATTTCTTACTTGGTGGAGTTGGCACAAGGCTGATGTTGGAGGATCTTGTTTTGCAGCCACATGGGATATCTCTCATCTGGTGGCTGGAATGATCTGGCTTTCTTGCTTTGAGGCATTCATATTTATTGACATTTGCCCAACCAGTGTGGAAGTGTGATGCAGCTAGGTATTCAGTATCTTTTCTGTCACAAAGAAACCATTGTCCATTGTCTGGGTTCTGAGAATTAGTTACTTTCTAATGATAAAATAAAAAAAGACCTATATTTATCATTAGCACACTATGATCCAAAAGCAGAAATTTTAGTGGCATCAGATGCTAGTGAGTACAGTATTGGAGCAGTGATTTTACACAAATACGATGGCAGTAAAATGAAAGCCTTTGCTCATGCTACCTGATTGCAGAGAAAAATTACAGCCAGATAGAAAAAGAAGCTCTAGCAGTTATATTTGCTGTGAAGAAAATTCATAAATTTATTCATGGAAGAAATTTTAGGTTGCAAACAGACCACAGCCCTCTATTAACAATATATGGTTCAAAGAAAGGAATAACGTTGGGGCACCATCTTATTAAACTATGATTTCACAATAGAGTACCAACTGTCTAAAAAAGATAGATTTTGCAGGTCCTATGAATGGATCACATTATCTTGTGGTAGTTGATAGTCTCACTAAATGGCTGGAAATTTATAAATACAAAAATCCAACATCTTCAGTGACAGTGAATTTCTTGCATGAACTGTCTGTGAGATATGACATACCAGATACCATAATCTCTGATAACGGAATGCAATTCATGGGTAAAGAATTCAAAGACTTTTGTAAGATGTTCTCCATTGAGCATATATGATCCTGCCATATCGCCGAAGGTCAAACAGAAAGGTGGAACGGTTTGTGGGGAATGTTCAAAAGTCCATTGAAGAAAGCAAGACTTGAGAAAGTAAATAAGGAAGCACTTCAAAATTTCTAAGAGTTTACCATGTAACACCAAACCCCAATACACCATCAGGCATGTTGCTGGTGAAATTAATGTTTACTAGAAAAGTAAAATTGGTGTTTGACAAATTATTACCAAGTCAAAAAACATGAACATATAACAAAAATGACACCAAAAGTTTCAAGATCATTGATAAAGTCTTCTTTAGAGCATATAAGGATGGCAAAGAAATGTGGGAAGATGACATAATAGCAGCAAGAATTAGAAAGTTGATTTACATGGTAAAAAGGAAAAGATTTGAACATAAAAGGCACCATGATCAGCTGAAAAAAAGGTTTAATTGATGAAAGACTTGAAACTTAAACTGATAAAAATGCTTTATGATGTTTTGATGGACCAGCACCACAAGTCATAGACCCTACAAGGACAAGTTCCAAATAAAGAAAGCGTACTGAAGAACTGAAAGTGGATCCGAGACAGAAACACTACAAAGTCAACTACATTGGTGAACTCTCCAGAAAGAGAAGGGGAAGATACTAATACTAATAAAAAATAAAATATTTATAAAAAGTATTAATCTCAAAAGGAGGCATGTTGTGGAGTAAATAGTATGCCCTCAGTGATTATATGAACTAGTAGATAACTATAAAGAACTCCAGGTCAAAGGTGAGAAGAAGAAGCTGTTTGGAGTTAATCTTCAGACTAAGTAATACAGGTGTCACGGCAAGTATCTGAAGCATTACTTATATTATAAGCACTACGAATCACATAACAACGTTGCAAAATAAATGAAAAATGTGAAAAAATATAAACATATCTTTTAGCGAAAATATTATGTTCACAAGTAATAAAATGATAATGAGTAGTTTAAAAATAATTTCTTTTTTGTCATCTAACTTTTGTCCAATTCAAGATAGGTGTGTATGTGTGTTATGAAAATTACATTTTTAATTGCATTTAATGACTCCTGGTTGTGTAATTTGTTGAAAATAGGTAAGATTGCTTACCAGTAGTTTGTGTTTCAGGCAATACTAAGTTCCAGATTCTGATCGATACTTATTGAGCTTATTCTGGTACAGTGTTGTATCTACTGAGTGAGAATCAAACTGTTACTCCAGTTGTAACAGCTTGTGTACCAGTTTACTGACCACTACTCTATGGAGAGGGATTCCAGTTTTCGGATGCTAATCTTCAAGTCAAGAACAGCTTCTGTTTTCTACAAGATAATAGCAATGTCCTTTTCTCTCTGGCTATCTGCAAGAATAACATTCATTCGGTATGTGAAAAAGATCCCAGCACTCTTTTTTTTCTTTTTTTTTTTTTTTTTTTAAAAAGTAAAGACTGAATATACAGTTGAAAACCAGGCTTTCATTGGAAACTTTTGCATACACTTAATTTATTTTGGTCTGCTTAATGATCCTTATTGACTTCTGTGGTTTGAATTTATTCATCTATATTGGTATAACTATAAACTAACCATGGTCAATAGAATGAGAAAAATCTACCTTTATAGTTTAAATAAAGGTATCAATTTGAAGTGAAAGGCAGGTGAACTGCTGGCTACCTTCGATGAGGCTTCCCATCTGTGTCAATCAAAAACACGGTGCTTGGTGTACTGCATATGTAGAAGAGGTTGGTTGGCACAAATCCAAGAATGTCTACTTGCAAAAAATATGGTTGCAGCAGTGGGAAGCTGAGTGGTGCCTAGAATTTGTTTATGCAAATGATTTGTGTCATGTATAGTAAGATTGCTGATGTTTCTGAGTTCAATATAAACAGACATTCTGTTTAGTAGGTGAGTCATCAGTGGTATTACTATTGTATGGAACATCATGATTCTGATTTCCTTTTTGTTTGTTGTCGCTTTGTGTCCTGGTTACGTTTGACCTTAATTTGTGCTATTTCTGTGTTGAATTCTGTGTCGCCTCTGCTTTGGACATGTCTGTTTTTATTTGCTTTGTTTTGTTTGTCTCCAGTGCTGCTGTTTGTTCTTTCTCTCCTTGTTTGTATTCCAGCAGCAGGAAAACAACTTCAACTTCCTGGGTTGGCAAGCAGCTGGTAACAGCTGGAGAGCACAACAGCCAAAATATTGTGATAGCAACAACAAAGACGGTGATAATCTGCATGTAAATAATGGGATTAATGATAATACCTCATCCCAGAAATTCAAGCAGATATTATTAGACTTAGCTGCATATTTATTGTTTTGTATGTAAACAAACTTATTTTGATAAATTGTTATAAAGCTGCAATCTCAAGATATTCTTGATGTGTGCTGACCTTATTATGTACTCCAAAATTGAAGCTTTGTACCAAATTTGGCCTAAAGCAACAAATATCTATGAATTTGTATTATTCTCAGTTTCTCAATATTTTCATCTACCACAATATTTGTCTAAATGTAATTATCATTACTTCTATTTTTCTATTTATCATGTATTTATATTTTTACTTGTTTTAAACTGTGACAATTTCATGGTTTTTCTATTTGAAATTCCAATGAATCTTAATTCGTCAATTAATGAGTGAATAATTGAATAAGCTCATTGCAAATTCTACAATAATAAAATATGCGTAGAAATTCCCATATCACATCATTAATTATTTGAGCTTAACAACTTTAACAAAATATTGCAATAATGATCATAAATATGAATGCTAGTCATTAGTTTAAGAAGTAAGGGGGTACAAATGAAAAAAAATTTGAAATTAACAACTTTTTCCATTTCACTGAAACGGATGTTAAACACTTTGATCTTCCCTTTCTTTCATTTTCTGATTGAAACCAAGTAGCATCTTTGATATCTTTTGCCTTCTGATGCAATAAAAATGGAATAGTCCATTATTTATGAGGCATTAGCAAGAGATAATAAACACCTATTTTTCTTTCTGTCTTGTCTTTCCACATGATCAAAATGGAATAGTCCCTTGTTTATGATGTTATTGCCAGGGTGTAATGGTCATGCAAACTAATGAAGAGAGGAACAAGCACAATTATAAAAGGATGTGAAGAAAAATTGTTACTTTATTTTCCAGCTGAGAGAATTATACCTAAATACCAACAGGACATCACTTCAGTAATTACATCCAGTGGCCTTGACAACATCTGGACAGTTGATCGATGCATGGAATATCTTTTGCTCACTGGGCTTGTACCTGAAGCAGCATGGTTTGCAGAAAGAATAGGAGACTGGAAAGCAACCCTCATTATTTCAGCTGCTTATCTTAAACACAAGGTTATGTTCCCTGATGTCTATAGGAGGTAAGTCTTTGAGCTTTTATTGTTGTTTACAGACATGGTGTATATCTTTTTTTATCAGATAATGATTGTTGTTGATAAACAAAATTAAGAGTATTTTAATCATTCCCTTCCTCAAGTAAGGTGATAAAAGCTACCAAGTTGCAAGGGGTTACTTGAGAGTGAAAGAAACAGAAAGGACAGGAAAGCAAGAACCCAAAAGAGTTCCACAAGCAAGAAGTGCAGAAGTAGAACTTACAGTTACAAGTAGAAATTTAAAATGTGAAGTTATAAGACCTGGTTGTCAGTCTAGAACTGCACTTAAATTTGTGCCTTCAAAAGGTACCAAAGATGAAAGTTCTTTAGAACAATTACTGTCAAAATATTTAGAGAAAAGACAAAGAGTAGCCGTATTACAGAGGTGGGAAATTGACTGAATCTGAGATGCCAGCTCAGGACCGATAATGTTGCAGATTCTTCTTTGGATTTTGTCAAGAACCTTTAGATACATAACAGACGTACCAGAACTGATGTGGTAGCAATATTTGATGCATGGAAGAGCTCAACATAGTCAACTGACTTATTTAGCAGCAGACTTACTAGTTGATTTAATATAATCATTCCATTTCATGTCATTGGAAAATATTTCACCAAGTAGTCACAGAGAGTTGGTCTTTTTGAGGTTAGCATCAGCCATGGTGATGAGAGGCCTAACACTTTCTCTAAGATGATTAAAAGAGATCAGTTTCATTTTAGAAGCGATAACAACAGCAAGTTCTTTCTTGGCTTGCTTAACAGATTAAAGGTCATTTTTGAGATCGGCTGCAAATTTGATTTTATTGAATCTTACTATTTACTAAAAGTAAATAGTTATCAGCATAGATAGAGAGTTGAGAATTGATGACATCAGGAAAGTCATTGATGAAAATAAGGAACATCATATGTTCAAGAATATAGTCCTGGGAGACACCTGCATCAAGGCAAAAGTATCTAGAAAATTGGCTGTTTACAACAATTTTTGTTATGTAATTTGATAAGAAAAATTGAATTGAATAAAAAAAAAAAAAAAAATGGCTCTTCGCCTTGTGAAGAAGACTGGCATGCCAAACCTAATCAAATGCCTTTGAGATATATAAAGCAACGGCTTAAGCTTTACCATTCTTATCTAAAGCTTGGCAAACTCTTTCAGCAATAACCATCAACAAATTGGTGGTTGATCTAGAGAAGTGAAGGCTGTTTTTTTTTGTTGAAAAGAAAACCTAGGAAGGAGAGATGCTTAACCAATTCCGATTTGATTAGAACATTTAGGAATTTGCCAAAAAGAGGTAGTTGATTTTCCTTATACTTTCAGACGATAAATAGTTTCACAAACAATATTGACCTTATGGTGGGCAGTAACAGTGAACTGCAAGATCTGACCAACAAACTTGGTGAAAGAGCTGGTGCATATGGAATAGAACTCTACACAGAGAAATCCAAAGTAATGGTGAATAGCACAAGCAACACCAGTGCCAGTGTCACCATGGATGGTGAAACACTGTAGGAAGTATCCAGCTTCAAATACTTGGGAACAACCCTGTCAGAAGATGGTACTAGCAATGCAGAAATTCATGCATTGTCACAGCAATGATGACCAGACTGGAAAGGATGCGGAAGAAAACATCAGCTTCCATAACATGTTTAAGCTCTACAAATTGCTGGTCATATTCACCCACCTCTACAGGTGTGAGGCTTTGACACGCCTGGTTGAGACAGGAAGAAGGATACATGGCATTCAAGAACAAATGCTTGAAAAAGCTCCTCCACATCTCCTACTAGGAGCACAAAACCAATGACTATGTACAGAGTAAGGTGAAAGTCTCATGGGCCAACAGGAATCTCTCTTTTTCACTAATAAGCATTGGAAGATGGTATGGTTTGGACACGTCACATGGTATAACAGCCTTTCCAAGACCATTATGCAAGGCATTGTTGAAGACACACAAGTGAGGACAGCAACACAATAGCTGGTCAGATAATATCTAAGAGTGGACAGACATGACAATGCTAGAGCTCCTGAGAGCCACTGTTCATCCTGGAGGAGGTTGTCTGTTTCTTCTGCCCTTAGGTCCTCTGATAATTGAAGCAGTCAAGGGACAGATGATGATATTTTTGAAAGCATATATATATTTTTTTAAGTTATTGATATTTTTAAGCTGTCATAAAATATCTATAAATAAAAGAATTTCAACAAATTCTAGTAGCTTAAAAATATTCAATGAAAATAAAAAAAACAAAACATCGGCTCTAAGAAACAGTGGATATTCAAACTAGAATACAAAACAACAAAAAAAGAAATTTTTTTTTTCCTTGATACCTCATTTCCAATTCAGTTTTTTGGTTTTTTAATTTAGTATTTTTGCTTTCAAAGGAAGTCATCCATTTTCTTGTGTAATGATAGCATTTCCAGTCAATATCTGATTTTGTTTGAGATTGACAAATTTGCAACTTAGTCTGTTCAACTCACAATTTCTCAAGTATTTCTGGTTCAATCTTAAACGTATTCATATGGCTGGAAAGAAAATAAAATAATCTTTCTAAATATGTAATTTGTATGTGCTTTTATTTATTGAATTATTTTTTTACAGCATGGTAAAATGGTATTCTGCTTTGAACAATCAAAAATGCGAAATATGATTTTTTTTTTTAGAGACTAAATTTTACGCATTACTTTGTTTTGCAAAATCAAAGTGACCAATCTTCATCAATATTCTTGAAATTGTACACTCAATTAGAAGACACCTTAAACTACAACCAGGAAGATGTTCATTTCTTCTCTGACCCGTAGAAGCGAATTCCTTCAAAAATTATAAAGTAAGCTAAGCAAAAAAAAAAAAAAAAAAAAAAAAGCAACTGATAGTAATAATAAATGTGTACTAAAAGAACTTTTTCATTAGTGTTTCTTTGGATATTGTCACTCAGTAGTGTTAGTACTAGACCAAATGATTTCAGTTTTGTAAAAAAATTCGATGCAGTTTCATGGTGTAAAGATGAAACTGAAAAAGTCATTTTTTTGGTTAAACTGCTCATCTCTACTTTGGGGATTTGCTTTATTATACTCACAGGGTGGTTGGATTTAACGTTAATGTATATATTATGAAATGGATTAAGTCTGAAAATTATTTAATATATTTTCTGTTTATAGGTTATTTTTTTATAGATACAATTTATTTAAGTAAATGCTCTGTTTTTTAAATAGTATTAATTACATTTACTGGCCTGAATGTACAAGAAATTTTCTAGAAAATATGTCATTTTCCAACAGGAATCAAACCTGTAACCCCAATTAATACTGTTTATTTAAAAAAACAGTGCATTTACTTAGATAAATTGTATCTATTAAAAAATAATGTATAAATATAAAACATATTTGATACAGCAAAAACTCCAAATTTACCACATGTGGGTATGGTCTATTTTAGACTAGCACAACCATATGCCAGTCTTCAAGGGCAAATGCAGATACACTATGGCAATATTCCAGGCAACCATTGCCCCCAAAGAAAATATGACAAATTATAATGTTGAAATTGGAATTTCCATGGGAGAATTGAAACAGAAAATTTATACCCATAGGTACTCATTTACCAATCCTAAATTTTAATTTAATTAACAGCCCTTTCATATATATATATATATATATATATATATATATATATATATATATATATATATATTTATGCGTATATATATATATGTGTCATATGATATGATTTATTCCATTGGGTGTTTGATTACTATTACAGGATTTTGGGAATCTATTATTTCGATAATTTATTCTAAATTTAAATTGTCTTGTCTTTAAATCCCCCATCACTTAATAATATAATCCATTAGCAAGAACCTAAATTCATTTACATACAAATAAAAGCTTGGGCCAAAGGGGGAGTTTGTTTATGGCCAATCTCTTGTCACCAACCCAGACTCCTTATCAAAACAAGGCTTCCTCTTAAATAGCCCCATACATTATCACTGATTGCTATCTAAACTAAATTCAAAACCCCTATTCTGAGACAGTCAGTCTAGGCCTGAGGGGGACTGGCATATGGTTGTGCTAGTCTGAAATAGATTATACTCACATGAGGTAATTTTGTATTTTTTCTGTATAAAATATATGCTCTGTTATAATAAACACATTGAGCTCTCTCTCTGGATCATTTCTAATATTTGATATTGCTAGGACCCACCTGGATTATATACCAACAGATCTATTACCTCTATTCATACATATATATATATATATATATATATATATATATTCATGAATTATTCACACAAAAACAAATGCAAAGGTTAATGATTTAATTGGCGAAAATCCATAAATAAGAAACAATTCAAATAATATACAAAAACCTCCGAATCCGTTATGAATGAAAAGATCCTTGTTTCTATAAATTTCTGCCGCATTAGTTCTTATTTTTACTACAAGTTCTCGTAAAAAAATTTAAAATCAAACTCAGCGTTGCTACTGCACGCTCCAAAAACAATAACTCATTTCCAATAGCATTTTTCGGATACAACAATACATATATTTTCGTTGTCCTCTTATTACTAAGAGAAAAACAAGAACAACATCTATTCCATACCTGAAGATGTCTGTAGGAACAGACGAAAGCTTGTAGTAAAAATAAGAACTAATGCGGCAGAAATTTATAGAAACAAGGATCTTTTCATTCATAACGGATTTGGAGGTTTTTGTATATTATTTGAATTGTTTTAATTTATGGATTTCTCGCCAATTAAATCATTAACCTTTGCATTTGTTTTTGTGTGAATAATACATGAATTTGTAAATTGATTGCACGTTTATTGAAATATATATATATATATATATATATATATATATATATATATATAGATATATATATATGAGAGAGAATACATATAAACTTCTACATTTAATAATCTAACAATAAATGATGAATATTTCTTCAAAAATGTACTTATATGTAATGAATATGTATATAACAAAAATTCTAGATGAT